ATGTCAGTGCGTGTTCCTCACATAATAGGTGCTGCTGGTACTGCATTGGATTAACAACTTTTGCTAAAAGCTAAAGTCTACATTCTCCAAAACAAATGTGATCACACTAGAGATATTTCAGGATTCATTAGGAATTAATGTGTTTCTTCAAGGGTTGTAAATATGCCTCATAGAGACAAATGAGTTTTGTTTGGCACTAGTGTCTATGATGTGTGGGTTTTAAAAATACTGTTATTCTTACACTTTATCACAGATTAGCTTTTGTACTTAATTAAGATGATGTCTTTTATAGGTCATGGAGAAATGCTGTTGTCACATAAACTATGATGATAATAATACCAATGTGTTACAATTTATGTAATACGATGTACCTAGACCAGGGCCCACTTAGCTAAGTAACTTCTGAAAGACCGATATTATCCTATGGCTCCCCTGAAGAAGATATTCTTAATCAAAAACATTGACAGTCGGTTTTTTACTTTGCTATTTTAGGACTCTTTTTCACTCAGTTTACTGGCAGGGAGTTGAGCTGCTAAAAATGTTAATTAGGTTGCACTGACATCTGCTGGCAACACAGTAAATTTCATAAAAGTAGTGTTTTATAAATTTCAATAGAATCACACAGTTCAGTCTTTCAAAAAAATTTTTTTTTGTTTTCAAAACTTGTATTTGCATCTGGTTTTATCAAATTAAGGGCTGTACCCGATTATTTCTGATTCAGAGTTCAGTTTGATTCAAGTGGCTTGTTACCCTGTTGTGTATCTCTTTTGGGATCTTCACAAAGGCCAGGGCAACAGAAGCTTGGTTGAGAAGTAACACGCCTTTTAAATAAATCATAATCTCTTCTAGTCGGCGTTTACCACTAACTGATGGCATCATCTTCTTCTTCCTCATCGTTGTCCCGGCATAATCATTATGTCTTTTGGTTCAAAAACAGTACAACAGTAATGATGTGTATTAATTGAATTCATAGTAATTGAATTATTACTGAATTGGTATTCACTTTGAGAAAGGATTCCTGGGGAGATAGGCAGAGGGTGTAGGGAAGAAACTAAGCTCCAACAGAGCTAAACTCTAAGGGATTATTTTTTCTTGTCAGAAAGTGTAACCTGGTTCTTTTATTTATTTATTCATTAAAGATTTATTTATTTGAGAGAGAGAGAGTACATGAGCATGTGAGCTGGGGCAGGGGCAGGGGCAGAGGGAGAGAGTGAATCTCAAGCGGACTCCATGCTTAGCATGGAGGCCAGCTCAGGGCTTGATCCCACCACACTGAGGCCATGACCCTGAGATCGTGACCTGAATGGAAACTAAGAGTTGGATGCTTAACTGACTGAGCCACTCAATGCCCCTAACCTCATCCCTTTAAAACCTACCAATTCAACACTGATTTAGGGTCACCAAATTTTACAGCTGTTAAGAAATTTACCAATCATTTAGTTCATTTCCCTTTTTTGTAGATTTGAAAACTGAGACCCAGTTAAATTTACATAACCTAAATTGTTACCTAGCTGATAGGAGAAAAATGTTTCCTAATTCTCCCATTGCATCATTCTTTCCTGTATAAATTGTCTTCCCCAGCTGTTTATTAAGTTTATCGCTTAAACCAAAAATACTTTAACACTCAAATATGATAATTTGAGAATTTATATTTAGCTTACATTAAGTCAGTCATCCTGACTTTCTCTAAATAGAGATGTGTTATTAAAATATACACTGTATTATGTAATATTGCTCAGTAGTGATTCAGAAATAGGTATCTATCCTAGGTCCTTCCCAGAAACTGAAGCTCTATTTCTTCAGATGTGAAAATAAAGACATACAAATTTGGGGGTTTGGGAGAGAAAGAAAAAGAAAGGTAGGAATAAACCTTAACTAGAAAAATTTCTGGCTCTTTGATCAGATTTGGGGTAACAGAATTATGCACCGGATTTCTTACCCTGTCCCTTTAGTTTTCTGTCCCATATAATAGGCACTATTATATGGGATAAAACTTTGGCAGTGCAACTTGCATTGCGGTAAAGTATGCACTATATAGATAAATTACCACCCATATATTCTATAATATAATGTCAAGCATGTTTTTCCTCAACTTCAGCACTACTGACATTTTGGGATGCTTAATTCTTTGTGTTGGGGGGCTGCTCTATTCTAAGCCAGTAGCATGCCCCCAATTGTAATAACCAAAATGTCTCCAGACCTTGCTGGGTGAAGCCTGAGGGTAGAATCAGCCCAAGTTAAAAACTACTGTTGTAAATTAAAGCTGTTTCCTTCAGGTTTATTTTTGTAAACTACTTAAAATATTCTGACCGAGAATTTGATTCTTTTTCTTTTTAAATAAAATATTGACATATAAAAAGAGAAGAAGCCTTGAGTCATCTCTAGTTTAGATAAACACTTAATTTGAATATTCCATTCTGAGCCAGAGTTAATAAAGTGGGTTCCTTAAATTGTTTTTAGTACTTGCATATTCATTCTTGCTTCTTTATGCTCCAAGGTATAATTTTGACACAGCTCCTAACTCACGACCAAGTTTCTTTAACTCTTGGCCAAGCTGCTCTTTCTTTATCTGTAATGGCTTTGAAAAAAATTTTGTGCTTTCCTGATGCTACAAAGTTCTCTCTACATATTATGCTCTTTGAAACAAAAAGCAACCAGGGAAGTTTTCAGGCAGGTATTTTCATCCCCATTCTCCAGAGAAGGAAATTAAGTGGAGCCAGGACTCAGTGCATGTCTCCAATGTATGAAATGTTCTTTTTATTTCATCTACAGTAAGTGTATTTTTGGGTCTTATATTGAGAGAACCTTCATGAAAGAAGGAGGAATGGGAAGTGAGGAGGAAGGGAGTAGAGAGAGAGAGAGAGAGAGCGCAAAGTTGGGAGATCCCTAGCAGGACACCAAACACTGGTTTATGACATAGCATGGGGTAAGGGATGATCACATCTCACCACTGAAGCCCTAGCAGCCAGTGAGACTTGGCACCTCCCCAACTCTCCTCCATCATAGCATAGCCCTCCACTCCAGCTCCTCCTCCTGACTTCTACCTCCTGCTCTCCCCTGCATCCCATAGAGCATGTAAGCGCACAAAACGAAGCAGGCACACCCATCTTTGAGTCAAGGTCTTGGGTCTTTCCAAGCAGAATGAATAGGAGCATTTTTTCCTCAGATCTATTTATTTATTGGGAGGTAGGGGTGCGGGGCAGAGGGAGAGAAGAAAGAATCCCAAGCAGGCTCTATGCTGAGCATGGAGCCCCACAGGGGACTCAGTCCCACGACCCATGAGATCATGACCTGAATGGAAACCAAGAGTTGAACGCTTAACCGAGTGAGCCAGCCAGGCACCCCCTGCCCCCCAATTTTGTTATTGCTGGGACAAGCAAAGGGTCAGCAGTTCATTGCCTATATTTCAAGCCTGGGAACAAAGAGTTTCTAGAAGCACTTCAAAAGCTTCCTAAAGCTTACACTGCCTTTGAATCTTTTGACAGTTGGGCTTCCTGTTTTTCAGCCTTCTTAACAGAGTTCTCGACACAGCCAAAGTCCTTCCAGATCCTGCCACCTTTGCGAATTTTATACATGGAAAAAGGAAAGAAAACTTTAAATATACAATGTTGGGAAGTCTGATGGGAAACAGGTGCCCTCAGATGTGATACTAATAGTGCAGCTAAGGAATGCTTCTGGAGGCATATAGCAATATGTATCAAAAACTCTAAAAACACACGTACATAGGTCCAGGTATTGAAGTTCTTGGTCTTACTATAAAGGAATCATTATAGATGTGCTCAAAGGCAAGGAAGGGCACTTACCCAATGTTGACCTGATAGTAAGAAATCAAACAAAATGGTAGTAGGATTAATTATATAAATCAGAGTTTATCTATCCAATGAAATACCAAATAAATCATTCTATTAAAATATTTGTCTTGGAAAGTCAGGACGAATAGATACAGATGTGCTTAGCTATTATTAGTGTGGTGGGGAGCTTCTCATTTCTTCTTTATGCTGTTCTGAATAAGCCAAAATTGCTACAGTTTTAAGAATAAGAAGAGGAGCATTTGAAATAAAGAAAATGGCCTGAAAATTGCCGTGGTTCTCTGCCCATTGTTATACAGGAACAATTTCTTGAATATCTCACCTGGTGGGCCTCGGGGCTTTCTAATACCCAGGTGCTGAGTTGTAGAATTAACTGCACTTATTAGCAAAACTTACTCCAAAGGCTTTCATTTATTGGCCATTAAAATGGGCAAGGCATTGTGCTACGTTGAAATAAGTTATCCCCTTTACTTCCTTTTTTTTTTAAGGTTTTATTTATTTATTTGACAGAGATCACAAGTAGGCAGAGAGGCAGGCAGAGAGAGAGGGAGAGGGAAGCAGGCTCCCTGCTGAGCTGAGAGCCCGATGCGGGACTTGATCCCAGGACCCTGAGATCATGACCTAAGCCAAAGGCAGTGGCTTAACCCACTGAGCCACCCAGGCGCCCCTGACCTTTACTTCTTAAAGCAAACCCCTACATAGATAGGACTCGCATTTTTTGCAGATGAGAAAACCAATGCTCCAAGAAGTTAGGTAAATGTGAGATCTAGGAAGGATTTGAGTCCAGATACTCCCCTGGCACACCTAGCCTCTAAGCTACATTGCTTTCCTCATGCAGTTTCAAACCTGAGCATCATCTCTTCTCCCGATCACTTGGAGCAAGAACAAGAGGCATGCAGAGGAAGAGTTTCAGTAGAATCAAAGCCACAATGCAAAGTTCTCTGTGTCACAGACCGAACTTCACTTTGTGATCATATTTGCTCTATGTCTGAAAATATGATACGATTAACTTATGTGGTGCTTAAGACAAGTTTGAGAACACAAAATAGGAAATAAAATCTGGGAATATTTTCCCACTGGAGAATTTCCCCCTGGGGAATGTAGCCAATGCCTCTGCTTTACCCTGAGCAATAGATTAGAGTATTTAGAAATTTGTAAAAATACGGACAACAAAAATGTGAGTCTGCTTAATTAAGAGAACATCTGCATGGTAGAAGTTTATTTTATTTATCTCCCAGGTGAATTCCAAGAGGCAAAAAATCACTACCAAGGTTGGCCAAAGCAGATAGTGAACATTATAGGTTTTTAGTGAGGTTCTGGGTTCTACTGGCTTTATCTGACTGCATTAAGACACATACACATGCCAACGTAAAGAAACAACATATACTACACTAACTGCACAGAGATCTTGAGACCTCATTGTTGGAACATTAACCATGATTATTACAATATTTTCACAGCTTTGCAAATGTGAGAATACAATGACATTATAGGAGGATGAGAGGGAAAAGGAAGAGGAGAAGGTAGTAGATGGGCTTAATTAAGTATTCCTTGCTACTGGTGTGAACAAGGACAAAACGCAGACACCATGTGGAACACAGATACTAATTCACAGAGTGAGCAAGTTAATTTACCGACGCAGACTCCCTATAAAATTCCTCTGTTATGATTCAGTTATTTTTTTCCTGTATGTAATCAAAATATCATCATGATGAATGCCTTGAGTCTTTTTTTGGGAAAAAAAAAAAGCAGCAGTAGCTCTGAATACGAGAGATTACCTTTGTGTATAATACACATAACTCTTTAGTACCCATGAGGTAACCTATGCCTAACAATAAAGATCTTTTGATACTATGGATTGTAACTCTCGTCAGTTCCTAATCGTTCTTTCGGAAGATTTTAAGTTTCTTAAACAACACACAGTTTATGTGAAATATAAGAATTAATGTACAATCTCATGGTCAGATTCAGGGACAAAATGCACTACCTGAATCTGGTAACACATTTGCTCCTTGCTGCATAGAAGTTGCACATAAGAAACACAGGCTGCACTTTTTTGTGATCCATGCGGTAAATATTCACAAAAATCAAGCAAGCAGCTAGACATCCTTCAGCTACTAAAATGAACTCTCCCAGTCACAATGGACTTATCAACGAAATCAAAGCCCTGATGGTTGCATCAAAACCATGCCGGCAGAGTTAGTGCTGAAAAGGGCTGCTTGCAAAGACCACAATGAAAACACTGAGAGTCATGAGTTTTCCACTTGTTATTATATAGGATTGAGACTATTCTCCCTTCACATGGCTTTTCTCTATGCCGGTGCATTTCAGGCTTCAGATGAAAACAATCATCCTTCAGGGGAAAGTGGAGAAATGCTTTTCTGGAGTTTCTGATCCTGGAGACAACTTGCTATCGGTCCTTAAGGCAAATGCCAGGAGTCAAAGAAATTGGAGAACAGTCTCAGAATGTAAACAATAAAATTGCTGGCCAAGGAGTTCTATCCGGGGATGAAAATTCCTTGCAAAAAGATCTATCTTGAGAGTACCAGCTTCTTGGTTTTTGAAGTTCCTGGGAATTTTATGTCCTAGAAGCACGGTACATTTTTTTCCTTTGCTGAGACTTTCTGTAGTGGATAAAATTTCATGATGTTGCTTAAAACAAAACAAAACAAAACCCCCCCAAACAAAACAAAACACAATCCAGCAGAGAGAAGCTACTCAAATACTAAGCAGTTTGGAGGTTTTTGTTTGAGTTTCATATTTTACTCTTGTGGTTGGCATAGGGAAAACCAAACTGAGAAATCATGATGTTGGAGTATTTTAAGGGCATGCTGTCGTAGATACTAACAAGCTTATTTATACAGTAAGACCTCTGCAGAAAGTGCTCAGCTCGATGCCACATTCCAGGATAGCCACCGTTAGACTCTTTTTCTAAATTGCCCATGTTTACAGGTTTCACAAATACCCCTGAAGTCTTCCCGGTGTTCTTGGCAATGATAAAATTCATGGCAATATCATCACAGTTCTGGATTTCATCTATCAAGGCATGGACAGCAGCCGGTTGCCTCTGAAACAGGTCAAGGTATTTGCTATTGAAGAAGGAGGCTCCAATCAGCACCATAGAGTACTGGTCGCCATTTCCAAACCCTGGTGTTTGCAGTTCAAACCCTCCATAACTGTAGATACCTGATGATGTAGAGACATGCTTTCTAGGAACAAATCCTACAATTTGATCAGGAAATTGCTGAAAAGGTGGAAAAAGAACAATTAAGGGTGGCATTTCTTGAGAGCAGACATGGTGAGAAAGGCAATGATTTATTACAGAGAGAATTAAACTTTATTTTAATATATATAATATATAGATATATACCAACTTTATTTTATTCTTGACTTCTACATCTCAATTTCATATAACTCTGGGGGACTCCATAAACCTATGCCCTGATACATTTGCAGGTCAAAATTCCATCGCAACCCAAATTGCTAACAAAATTTCTAACCTTACAAATGTTCTCTAAATTCAAACGTTCTCTGATATTAATAAAATCTAGTCACCAAAGAGTTTGGTTCTTCTAAATTTGCTTTAAAAGAAGCTGACTGTATGAATGCTATTTAATATGGGAGATAAGAAGATAAATTATTTTGAAAACCTGTTTCAATCTCTTAGGAGCATATAAAATTGTGAATCTACAGGTAGGATTCTACTGTTTTTCCATGTTGATTTCAATATTCCTGAAAGTCACTGTTGATCTTAAACAATGTTATATTTTTCTCCCTTTTCAGCCTGGGTGTTTCCTTTTTAAAGATACCAGTAAAAAAAAAAAAAAAAAATAGAATGAGACGTTGTCAGAATCTTTGAAGAAAGGATAGTAGTAAAACCATAAAATTAAGATGAGAGTAACTAAAACAAAACCCAGTAAACAAGAGAAAACCAGTGAATCACAGAAAAGAAGAATTTATAGAGTTAAAAGGTTTAGTTCAATCTCATAAGTAATTTGTGTTTCACTTATTTACTGAACAGACATTAAACTAGGGACACACACACACACACACACACACACACCAGGCTGGGTTAAATCCCTTTCCAAAAAAGTCATCATCTGGAGAGGATATGATCCAGCTGTGTGGATAAGGAATTCCCATAGTGTGAGATGGTTGTATGCACAGTTGGGTAAGCCTGTTGGAACCACTGAGGACAGGGTGACAGCTGTGTTTCTGGGAGGCAAAGGGAATGGGCAGGGAGTCAAGGATACAGTGTGGGGGGCTTCAGAGAGGAAGTGCCATTGACATCATCTAGGAGGGTGAACCTTGTTGCACAGGTTCACAGGTTCAAAGGAGGAAAAGTCATAGCACGAATTAGTGGTAACCAGTGAGCGCAAAGGCACGCTAGGTGTCCACTCCAGCCTTGCCGGCCTCTATTCCCCGAATCATTCCATATGCCATGTACTGATGGGACTGAACTTTAGGAATCAGGTTACCTTGGGCAATGGATTGAAACTGTTCTTGTTTATTCTTCTATGAATAAAACCCCAAAATCATATTTATCCATATTACTTGGATTTTCTAATTAAACACAGTTATTTTATTCCCCCACCCCGCCCATCCCTGACATTTAAGGTAAATTGATTTTTTTACCTGAAATAGAAATTTCACGGCTGGAATGTTACATTAGAATTTTTTTGCCTAAGAAGCTTTATTTACAGGGCTGGAAAAATTGCTATTGGGGGGAAAAAACTTTTTGATCTTGGCATAAAGTTAGAAACTAAAGTTTTGAGAGTGCTGGTATCTGCTGAGTACTATGACCACCTACCATTAATATCTAATGTTCTTATATCCCATGTAACTAATTAAGGAGGGTTACTGTAGCGCAAATTAGACCATTTATTGGGTAGCACAGTGTTTATTTGACATATCTTCAGAAAACTGTTGTGCAGTCCTGGTTTCTGCAACTTGTAAAAGCCAACTACTATTAATTAACACATACTCAGTAGCAAAGAATTGTGTTCATAGAATAGCGAACAATTTATGCCTGTTTAATCCAGCTAGGATTTAGGGGAAAAAATAATAATAAAAAATAAATAAATAAATAAATAAATAAATAAATAAAACTACCACCACAATGATGCATGTGGAATTATTACTATTACTAATTCCTAAAAAGTTGTCCCAGCATTAGGATTAAATTTTGTGGGTGTAATAAATGCTTTCTTTTAAAGGAAGTTATATACAATATTAATACTTCTGTGTAGAAATATACTTCTTATTTGAGACACACATCTGTGGCCTTAAAGAAAAATATCTCTAGACTCTAGTCTTTGCTATACCAGATCATTTCCTCATTGTCCTCTGGAAGGTAGCTCTAGCTCTTATCCCCCATATCAAATATAAATCGAATATAGATAAAAGATACCATAACTTGCAGGCTGGCTTAAATGAACACGAGACATGTTGATTACCATGCAACAAATGTATCTGTCTCTAAGATAAATCCTGTCTACACTGATTGAGATGACTCCCACAATAAACCACGCTGCCCGACTAAACCCTAGAGAAAACTTTATACTGATGAAGTCATAAAGGACAGAGCAACATTACCTGCCAAACTGAGAAAGCAAAGACAAGGTCTTGGGCGCTAATTAGCGTGTCATCGTCTACCATTAACACCGCTGCAACAAAAGGAAAAAAAATTTATATACAACAGTTTGGAACTGAAAACAAAACTAGTAATGAACAATGGTGCCTAGATAGATCATTCAAATGAATAATTTCCTGAACAAAATTAGTAAACAAGAAATGTATTCCTGGAGAGATTTGTCTAGCAGAAAAAGTGCTTATTTGAATTGTAATTGATATTAGTAATTGCCTGAGGAGAAAACTATCATGCAACTCTCATCCATTACCCTAGAAACAAATGAACCTATAAACAAATAAAACTGAACGTCTTTTAAGCAAATTACCATGCCCCTGAAACTGCTCTGGATGGAAGGAAAAGGGAGGTGGCAAAAAAAATACATTAAGTGTAAGCTGAATGGCATTTTACAACTTTCTGTGAAACAGCAATATGTAATTAGATCTCATTCATGTTAACCTCTTTGTCACCATTGCAAGACGTCTGTGATTTCTTCCCTATGAAACTGCTGCTTGGCCCCTTGAAAACTGTCCCTTAAGTTTTCCAGAGTGCTTTCTTTTGATTCCCTCTCCCTGCTTTCTCCACATGGTCAGGACAAGCAGAAGGCCGGAAAGCCACACACCTGCCCCCCTGCTCTGGGGAGCGCAGCCCAGGCCAGCTAGGACCCCAGTAGCAACTCACCATTGGTTTCCAGTTCAGGAAAGACCTGGAGTCGATTTCTCATCCTGTTTGTTGTCTGCAGTTTGAAGATCACAGGGACAGGGTGAGGCCCTAGAGAGTTCCATAACTCATCTGGTCCCTTCTCCCCAACGTTGTTCCACACCACAATCACTTTATGCAGATACGGCACGGCCTGATAGTGATTTAAGAGTCTCAGCAAAAGATCTGTTCTGTTGTATGTCTGCATTATTAGAGTAAAGGAATCCGGGGCAGACTTGCCCTGGGATTTTATTTCCCTGCGCAACGTGAGCATCTTGTCTTCCTTGATATTTGGAAGTAAGCTGGTCAAAGCCCCGGCTACGAGCAGCAGCACGAGGATGACGACCAAAGAGAAGCGAAGCACGCGAATGCCCATCACTCGCCCGGGAAGTTTGCAGATGTGGCAACACCTGGAATAGAAACGGCAATAAAATGCAGTATCAGCACTCTTCGTAGTTACCACATTTTTGGTTTTGCTTTTTCAAGGAGCACGGAGGTAAATCTTATTTGAGTTGATTTGAATTCAGTTCTCCCTGCCTCTTTGGTAGAGCGACTTGGCCTAAGGGAAAAATGAAAAGTGGCGGTGACTAGACCTGCCCTTCTGGGCCTGCTTGCTTTCGCGGTTGTGGACTGCAGCTCATCTACACACAAGCCAGAAGAATTAGCAGTGTATTTCCAAAATCTGCCCTCATTTTAACATGAAGAATTTGGACCGAGGACAATCTTTTCAAATGGGGTTACCTTTCTCTTAGTACTGCACTAATCCTTTAAACAGCTTTACTATCAGTGACATAAGAATGGTGTCTATTTAAAGTGTACAACCTGATGTTCTGATACACGTATACAGCAGGACTTTGAACAGCACAGGTTTGAACTGCATGGGCCCACTTAATATGTGGATTTTTTTCAGTAAATCAAGCCCAGGACCATCAGTGGATTTTTCTCTTATGATTTTCTTAACATTTCCACTTTTCCGACTCACTTTATTGTAAGAATACAGTATATAATACACATAGAAAATAAGTGTTCATCAACTATGTTATAGGTAAGGGTTCTGGTCAATAGTAGGCTATTAGTTAAGTTTTGGGAGAGTCAAAAGTCATATGTGGATTTTCGACTGTGTGGGGCATTGGCCTCACATTGTTCAAAGGTCAGTTACACTCTAATGTGCAAAATTTAAAAGTACTTTTTGGTAGCAAACTTTTTTCCAAATGAAATCATAGGCAGAAGACTAATAAAAGAAACAGATAATAATGGTAGCAGCAGCAGCAACAAACAATTATAGTAGGTTTACCACTTATCAGGCCGTCTACTATGTGCTTCACATATCATGGTATGTACTTACTCACTCAGTAAAAGAAACAAATAGTTATGAGTGTTTACTGTACCGGGCACTGTTCTAGGATCTGTGAATTGAGCAATGAATAAGATAAAGTCTCTGCTGTTAGATGCAGAGGAAATAGTAGAGAGAGGCAGAAGAATAGTAAGCTCAAAGATAAGTTAGTGTAGTGGTAACAAAGAGAATACATCAGAGTAAGGGCCAGATGACCAGGGATCGTGTCAGCCAAATAAGGAGTATCGATTTTATTCTAATTGAGATGGGAAGCCATTAGAAAGTTTTGATCAGGGCAGGGACAGGATCTAGTTTATCTTTTACTATCGCCTGGATACTTAGGTTAACTATCTCTCTCAAGATTATGAAGCCACTACGAAATGGATCTGGACTCTATACCCAAGAAAATCTGCCGCCAGGGCCAGGCTGTTCCTCATTATGGGCTAAGGAATGTGCTGCCGGATATAAGGTCAGGTTGAATGGAGGGAGGACTCTGGAGCTTCCAAATCACCCTCTCTCACAGTCCAGGAGGCTCAGAAGGTACTGTAAGCAGCTACATACTCTCCTATTCCTCACTATACCTAAAGGATCCGCCTGCAAAGGTCACAGAACAGTCGGTGAACATCTGATGCATGTGGTCTGGACATTCACTGGTCACACGTTCCTGGCTGATCAGACCTCTCAGTCACGTATGTGAGAAAAGACAAAATCGAATAGGCAGTTTTACAGAGACCCAGAAGCTCTGATTTCCTAGCCTCCGACACAGTTCACTATCATCCTTGCTGCCTTCTTCTGAGCACTGTCGACTTTGCATTGTTGCTCGGATTTACTACTATCATTACTATTCTGCTAGTTCTGCTTCTGATTCGACTTTCCTTGCTCCTCCACAGGCCTCCATGAGCCTTCTAGGTGAGTCCTTTTTGTGTATTTTGGCAGCTGAGCCTTCATACACATCTCAGCATATATATCCTAGAGCTATTCAACTGTTCTGTTCAAGTACAAAAGCCAGAAATGAGAAACAAGAATATTCAAAGATATTTACCCATAAAAAGACAGAAAACAAAATTCATTTTAGAAAACACCTTTAAGGGCACCTGGGTGGCTCAGTGAGTTAAACCCTCTGCCTCTTAAAAAAAAAAAAAAAAAAAACCTCTAAGAAAAAAATAAATCTTCGAAGTGGAAAGAATGAGATACTATTCTTGATGACTTTAATGGGTCCATCATCTACCCTCTCTTATTATTTTTTTTAAAGATTTTATTTATTTATTTGACAGAGATCACAAGTAGGCAGAGAGGCAGGCAGAGAGAGAGGAAGGGAAACAGGCTCCCCCGCTGAGCAGAGAACCCAACGCGGGGCTCGATCCCAGCAGCCTGGGATCATGACCTGAGCCAAAGGCAGAGGCTTTAACCCACTGAGCCACCCAGGCGCCCCTCTCTTATTATTTTTAATACAATTTCTCTTCCTAGGGAGGCCTGAGTTAAGCAACTTAAGTCGGTTAAGCAACTGCCTTAGGCTCAGATCAGGATCCCAGGGTCCTGGGATCAAGCCCCCCATTAAGCTCCCTGCTCAGTGGGGTGTCTGCCTCTCCCTCTGCCTCTTCCCCAGCTTGTGCTCTCTCTCAAATAAATAAATTCTAAAAATCTTTAAAAAATTTCTCCTTTTAGATGATACAATGAAAGAATACTCTCATTTATTCCACAATATAGACAAATGTGATAAAGCTGGAGGAAACTACTTACTGCTCCCTCCCAGCAGTGGTATGCCAATGGCACCGAGCCACCCTCTCTGTTCTGTGCACCACTGCCTCTGTACAGTTTAGTTTTGGTTGTTGCCATCTCCTTAGAAAAGTTCATTGTGTGTGGATGCCTATGCTCTTGACTCCACACTCTGTCGTTTAACTGGGCACGTGCAGCCAGACCACCGTACCGCAGCCAATCCTAAAACTGTAACCTAAATCTTCCCATCTCCAGATTAGATTCCCAGTGAAATCTCACTTTAATTTCCGAATGATGTTCAGCCAGCCTTTCGTTTTTCTTGGAGGAGAGTTAGCAGTGGTGGAATTCAAATGACAATCCCACTCCCGTGATCATGTTTCATGTGGTAAGGAGTGTTTTGCAATTGTAGAAATGGTTTCTCCATATACAGTTCAGCAAGGACATAGAGAGACCATATGGACCATGCCTTTAACATCTCCCTTTGAAGTGTATGAGAATGGGGAATGGAGAATTCTGACAGGGCTAGGGGCATCGGCTCCATGCTTGGAGAGTGCATTGAGGCCTGTGCAATGCAAAGAAAAGCTTATGTATAAGATCAAGGGGATGGTCATTGTCATTCAGCAGCTCTCACTTTGCAATAGTCCAGATTTGGAAAGCAATGTTACCTTGTAGTAACCTTTTCAGAGAGTTTTCAAAGAATATTCTCTCCTGGACTTTCTCTGCGGCATGTTCTGTTAAGAAAAGCAATTTTGCGTTTCTCCTTTTATCATGGCCTCACTCAAGATATGAGTAAAATGAATTTTATTTGAAGTAACCTCAGCTTATTATGATTATTTTTCAAGGACAGTAATTTAATGCTGTAGAATACTATATTTTTCATTGCATATACCCTCTTACTAAAACAACACATACTACTAATGTAATCAACCAAGGAAAAACCATTATGAATTAATAATCTTGGTTCAAAGGCCTTAAAAATTCTTCTAATATATTGAATCAAAAGCAGGTCTCATAAAACACATTTTCAGTTCTGCATAAAAATGGCTAGCTATAAACACTCAGAGCAAAGAATACCCAAAAATTGCATTAAAATATACCCTGATTAAGATCTTTGTGTTCATTTTCTATAGCCGAGTAGGAATAGCATATTGCAAAACTTACACAAAGGTGTTTCTAGTTTCTAAAGCAGACATGGGTAACTATCTGGCAACATTAGTGTAGAAAAAGTAATGAAATTAATTACTATAGCCTACTATAAATATAATTACATAATTATATTTATATATAATTACATAATTATATACCCTACTATAGATATTGTCGAAGACACACACGAGTATTTTACTATAACCTATACTTTTAAGTAGGATTTAGCCCGATGACCATCATAGAAATTTCCTCTTTCAGATAACTCCTAATCCCTGTTTTACCTATATCAAAAAATGTGTTGGGAGATATGAGCAACTTATCTTTAGAAACACAGCATAAATATTTCTTATGGTATTTACTAAATAATGCAACCCAATACAATCATGTGCAATTTTTAGTCTGTACAGAAAAGCAAGAGCAAGAACTTCAGAGACCGCAGGGCAAGCAGCAAGTCTATACTTTGAGAACAGGTGAAGTTTGGAACTCCATGGTAGGCCTGCTAGAAACAGTTTCAGATCAGTCTGGAGAATAACGATGACTTCACTGGCTGTCTGGATTTCAGTGTCTAGCTTTCTTCTATTCTTTCTCCAGAGAAAGAACTTACCACCAAATCCACAGCTTTGAGCTTTGAACAGGAGATATGAGGAAGAACACATCTAGGATATTCTACATCTTACATGGAAAGAACCAAGAAGTAAATGGAGGCTCCTCCCAGTTCTTTTGCCCTCAACTCCTACACCCTTTTCTTAGACTTTTTTTTTTTTTTTTTTAGATTTTATTTATTTATTCATGAGAGACAGAGAGAGAGGGAGAAGCAGGCTCTCCACTGAGCAGAGCCCGATGTGGGACTCAATCCAGGACCCTGGGATCATGACCTGAGCAGAAGGCAGACGCTTAACCATCTGAGCCGCCCAGGCATCCTTCTTGGTTTTTTGGTTTTTTTTTTTTTAATGTCTGTATATATTTACTGACACCCTGTCTCATTCTAAAAAGGATCTGACAGCTTAACTAATCCTTCTCTGCCTTTCTCCAATCCATGACTACCATAGATTAAATGTGACTTTAATAAACACAGTAAATGGCAGCAAAACAAAACAAAAGGTCTTCCTTCCTCTTCTCCTGATCATCTGAAAAATCAAAGACCTCCCCAAATGATATTTTTCGCATATACATTAACTTACTAGTTCTTCATAGGTAGAGAGCATATCCTTT